ACTGATTTTATTTTTAAATTCTCTCTCCCTCCCTCTTTCCCCCTCCCGTGTGTGTGTGTGTGTGTGTGTGTGTGTGTGTGTGTGTGTGTGTGTGTATGTGTGTGTGTGTACATTCATGTGCCCAAACCTTCAGTCCCAGGCAGTTGTGAATCGCCCCATGTGGGTGCTGGGAACCCAAATTCAGGTTCTCTGCAAAAGCAGTATTTATTTGTTCTACAGCGCTGATCCGTCTTTGCAGCCCCTACATTAGTAATTGAGATTCTGGAGTTAGCTGAGTTCACTTGTGGGACAGGCAAAGAATTGACTGTCTGAGGGAGACAAAAGAGTGTGTGTGTGTGTGTGTGTGTGTGTGTGTGTGTGTGTGTGTGTGTGTGTGTGTCGTTATTGAGGCAGGCTCTGTGTTGGGAGTCTGTTCAAGGTATTTTATAAGACTGCTGGGTCCTCCCATCGTATCATCCTGCCTAGATATGTGTCCCTGAGCAGGCCGTTTCTGCCTAGCCTTTCTCACGAGAAAGGAAGCTACCCTGGCAGGAAGCCCATTTCTGCTTTCTCTACCTGCCTATGCGTTTTCTAACTTTTCCCCAGCACCATGTGTATAAAACGCCTCCTTTCCACGTATGGACTTCACAGACTGAGTCGTGTGGAATGTCAGTGGCTTGTTCAAGAACCATAAACATTAAGGGGCGGGATTCTGGGTCTTTCCAGTTTGATGCTCCTAGTCTGAAGCTCTGGAGAGAGGAGGGAAGAGGAGACTTTTAATAGGTTAATTAATTAATTGATTGATTTTAATTAACCTCATGGCTGCGTTCTGATAGACTGCTGCTGAAAGATCACAGGAAGTGACACAACTCCTGTAGTTGGCTAAGAAGTCTCCTGGCTGTCACTCAGGGAAACCAGTGCTCCATCAAGAATGCTTGTTGGCTGGGGAGATGCTCAAGCAAGAGTTTGACTCCAGAGCCCATATGGTGGAAGGAGAGAACTGACTCCTGCAACTTGTCCTCTTCTACATGTGCATTTTGGTTGGCATTGAACACACACTTGCACAGACACACACACACATGCACAGACATACACATTTGTGCCCATGTTCGTGCATACACATACACAGATTTTTTTATTTTTTTATTTTTTGAGACAGGGTCTCTATAGCCTAGCCCTGGCTGTCCTGGAAATTGCTGTGTAGACCAGGCTGGGCTCAAACTCAAGAGATCTGCCTGTATCTGTCTTCTGAGTGCTGGGATTGAAGGCTTGGCCACCATGCCCAGTTACAAATCTTTTATTCTAAGACTGGCCCTTTAACTGTGAGTTGCTTGCCCATGATGCCTTAGGACATTAACGTCTTATGAAAACTGCACAATAGCCAACATGCTGGGGTAGGCTGACATCGTTAGTCTGTTTACTAACCCTCAGGGGTGATTCACAGTCAATGAAACGTGGGTGGTTGGAACAGGCTGTCTCCAAGCAGGGACCTAGGCTTGAGGAAAGGAACCTTGCTTGGTTTTAGATCTTAGTGGATCCTTTCATGGGAATGGGGTGGATAGGGATGGAATTTGTCAATTCCATAGATCTCTTTTGCTCTATCACTGAGCCAACTCTCAACCCCTCTCTGGTGGGTTCTAGACAAGGGTGTTGTTGCTGAGCCACACCTCTAGCCCCTCATTGGTGGATTCTAGGCAGGGGCTCTACCACTGAGTCATATCCCCAGCCCCTCACTGGGAGTTCTAGGTAGGGGCTCTACCACTGAGCCACACTCCGGCCCCTCACTGGGGGATTCTAGGCAGGGGCTCCACGACTGAGCCATACCTCAGCCCCTCACTGGGGGTTCTAGGCAGGGGCTCTATCACTGAGTCACACCCCAGCCCCTCACTGGGAGTTCTAGGTAGGGGCTCTACCACTGAGCCACATCCCCAGCCCCTCACTGGGGGTTCTAGGCAGGGGCTCTACCACTGAGCCACGCCCCCAGCCCCTCACTGGGGGATTCTAGGTAGGGGCTCTACCACTGAGCCACACCCCCAGCCCCTCACTGGGGGTTCTAGGCAGAGCTCTACCACTGAGCCACACCCCCAGCCCCTCACTGGGGGTTCTAGGCAGGGGCTCTATTACTGAGCCACACCCCAGCCCCTCACTGGGGGATTCTAGGTAGGGGCTCTACCTCTGAGCCACACCCCTAACCCCTCACTGGGGGATTCTAGGCAGGGGTTCTACCACTGAGCCACACCCCAGCCCCTCACTGTGGGATTCTAGGCAGGGGCTCTACCACTGAGCCACACCCCAGCCCCTCACTGGGGGATTCTA